GTTTTCAACTGCAGGAGATAGGAAAGGTTTTGTTGCAGAGGAGCTCTTTAAAGGTAGAGCTGGTTTTTACCTAGTAGGGACATGGAGGGAAGATGGTATGTCCCAGGGATTGGGTTGTGGGCTAAAGGTCTCTCACTCAAGGAAAAAGTCATCCTCAACTCTTGGCTTCAGTTATTAAATTGAGATAATAGGATTTGTACTCCCTGACTCACAGGGTTAGTGTAAGGACCAAATCTGAAAATATATGTGATATACTTTCAAGAATCAGCTCAAAAAAATTAAAATTAAAATTAAAAAAGAATCAGCTCCATTTCCACCACCTATAAGAAGTCTATCCCTGAGCCCCTCAGCTGCTAGTTTCTTTCTATGTAAGGTTATCTTTCCTCCTATCTACTTTATATGTATCTTGTATGGACCTATAAATGCACATGCTCTCTGCCCCATTAGAACATAAGCTCCTTGAAGGCAGGGACTGTTTCACTTTTGTATTTGTATTCCCAGCCACTAGCAGAGTGTCTGGCATACAGTAAGTTCTTAATAAATCCATGTTGATGAATGAATTAGAACTGTAAATCCCTTCATCATTTTGAGCTCTATCATTTGCCTTTTTTATCACCTTCCAACTTGGGCACCATTATTCTTTCTGTTCTTCTGAGGGCTCATAAGCAAGAAACACACAAAGCATTGGTAAGCTAGTGTCTTCCTCTATCTATAAGTTAGAAATGTGGAGGGAAGGTGGTAAAAAGCATTCAGTAGACAAGATACCATTCAATCTACCCACAAACTAAACTCTTTGTGCCAACACATTCTTCTCTGGCTACCCTGATAGTCAAAAGTCGACTCTATTTTGGAAATGATGGTAAAAACTCTCAGTGTGAGCTTCTATTTTTTTTCATCCCCTCTTCCCTTTGAGAGGTGGAAAATGACATGTTGCCTTAACTCCATTATAAAGACAGGTCTGTGAGTGTTTGCATAAAGGCTCATCAGTCATCAGAAGGCTTCCTGATTGGTTGAAAGTGAGCCAGAGACTATAGAATTAACCAATGATCTCAGACCAGAGATCCCCAGTGTGTCGATCTCAAACTAGCCCAGGGATATTTTGAGGAAAAGGACACAATATTTAGGGGGAGGGAGAAAAGCAGGCATGCTATCTTAAAGAAACTCAGTATTCCAGGTTAGAGAGAGTCAAACTTGGGACAAACTAGACATAGATACCCAAAGAGAACCATAATAGCTTAGATAATTTAGGCTTAGTTCATATGCAATCCTCTTAAATGTTTGTCTTTAAATATTGAAATATTCATATTTTATTTTTTCAAGTTCATAATTTTTTAAAAGTGTGGGCACCAACTATATCTGGGACTGGGTAGTTTTCTCTCACTAGCATTTCTTATGACCCTAATGTGGGATGATATTATTCTTTTTAAAGCTTTACTGATGCCTTGTGTTGTTATACCGCAGTCATTTCCTGATATACCCCTTCCTTTGAACCTTCTCTTATCACAAAGAAAAACAGTTAAACAACAACAAAAAAGCCTACAAACAAAACAGAATGTGTCTGACAGGGTATGAGTACTTGGCTCTTATGGTTCCCCCCTCTTCTCTGCCAAAAGAAAAGAATTGTGTTTAATCTGTTGTTCTTTAGGTTGAAGACTGGACCCTTCAATCATAAGAGTTCAGCTGATCTTTAGTGCCCTTTCTACTTCCATTGTTATAGTCATCAGATACTTATGTATGTATAAATGTATATGTATGTGTATGTGTATATATGTATGTGTATGTATATGTGTGTGCATCTACATATGTGTGTATATATACTTATTTATATATTTATGATTCTGCTACAGTGCATACAAATCTTCGGTTTCTCTGGTTACTGTCATCTGTTACAGCACAATATATGACATTACATTCATGGACCAGAGATAGGTACCCACTTGGCTTCCAGTGAATTGCTAACTTTGGTATATTACATTGGAATTTGCAGATTCTCTTCATATTTGCTTGTGAAAAAAAAACCATAGAAATGTATTCTTGTTGTAGAATGTGTACATGTAAAGGGATGGAAGGGAAAGAGCAAGAAAATGTCAGATTAAGGTATCCAGTTACAGTAATGGAGGAAGAACGGAGAAGATAATTGGAGATTGGGTATGGTGGATTGCTAAACCTGGAAACCAAATTGTCTCTGGGGGCCAGGAAGATCAGGAAGCTTGGCCTTTTTAGGTTAGGGTTATTTGATCAGGGAAATTGTAGAAAATGATAAAAAGTGAAAGTCGTGGGACTGAGGGGAAAGCCCACCTCCCCACACTTTAATTTTTAAGGAGTTGGCTCACCGGCTATATCTGGGAAAAGGCTAAGATTGTCAAAGTCCAAGATACAGACTTGAAGTCCTTCACATCCTGTTACACTTTTAGTTAGACATGCATTTGTTAAAAGATTGAGCCAATGGCTGCATTCATGAATCAATGGTGTCGTCATCACAGTCCTTTACATATGTACAATTTACTGTTCATAAATCAATTTATCTGATAATAGGAGTGATCTAGAAAAAATAAGAATTGGTAAAAGTATATAAAAATAAGAGCTATTTCCCAGTACATAAATGGTTAAGAGCAGAACTGTAGTTCTCTTTCTCATTTCCTCTATTTTGTTTTGTAACTCTCAAAAATGCTTGTTATAGCATTTTCTATTATATCTATCTCCTGATTGTGTAAGCTCCACTAAGGCAGAATTACGTCTTCTCTAAACTATGTATCATCCTCCCCAACACCTGCAGAGTGCTCTGCATGCACTAGGCTCTTTTTTGAGGGGGGAGAGTGGAAATAGACACCCTTTATACCTGGCCAATATCTTAGAAATTGGAAGGCCCTCATCAGTATCATATACTGCCTTCACCTCAATTTTGTGACCTGTGTGAGCAACTCACCACCTGTTTCTTCTATCTGGATAGAGGGTCTGCAGTCTACTCCCCCCTCTTTTATCCACTCCCAAATGCTCTCTATGCTGTTTCCTTAGCAACTAATCATGGTCTGGGATTCTAATAGTTCATGATTTTATAGGTCTGAGGTTCCATAATTCTATGATTCCATGATTCTAAGATTCTATCTAAATTGTTTAGAATATAAATGTTTCCTAACTCAAATTTGTGGATTTCCACATAGATGTAAGTTTCTGATAAATAGTTACTTTGAGAAGGGACCAAAGTGGGCATCTAGCTAAATTCTCTCCTAATGAAGGAATCTCCCTCATAGCATCATGGCATCATGGATAGTCAGTCATCTAGACCCTGCTCAAACACTTTCAGTGTCTGGGAACTCACTACTTCACAAAGCAATCAGTTCATTTTAAAAGGAGTTTTTACCAGGATTGTCTCATTTTAAAGAGCACTGGGTGAGGAGCCAAGTGACATAAAATCTATCTTTGACTTTGTAGCTAAGGATCCAGGTGACCTTGGTTATGGTCATAGCTCCCTTCTCTTCTCCGGCTCCATCTCCCTCATCTGAAGGAGTGTAATTGACGGTCTCTAAGGTCCTTTATGTTCTATGAGCAAGCGGGTGTCTGGATGGAAACCTGTGGCATGTCAGTTTGTGTCTGTTTCTTTGTGTGGTTAAAGCCAGGCCTTCTGTCCATGAGTACACCTGACTCAAAGTTTCCATTGTCACAAACAATGTGAGAAAGTGCTCTTCAAAAACCCCCAAACATCTTTCTCAGCCCTTCAGCCCCAGACCACTGCTGGAGAAAGCGGCAAAAAGGTCCATGCCAGAGTGGGTGGTAATGACCACAGCAGGGCTCCTCCTTCAAGCAGATGGATGTCAACATTTTGGGGAGGTGGGAGGTGGTCCAGACTAGTGATTCTAAAATACTAAAATGTAACTGTCTATGCAATTGAATAAATGAAACTTTAATAAGCATTTCACTCATTGTATTTGTGCCTATGTTGCTTGGCACAGTGACTGACACATAGTAGGCACTTAAGAAAACACTTGTTGGTTGAAAAAATGGATTTAGAGCTGGAACGTACCTTAGAGGTCATTGAGTCTGACCCGTTCATCTTAAAGAAGAGGAGACTAAGATCCAGACGGGGAAAGGGACCAGCTCAAATTCTCCCAGCTAATAAGTGGTAAAGCCAGAATTTGAACTCAAGTCCTTTGATAAGCACTTATAGAATTTCAATCTTAGAAGTAATCTTGTTAAACTCCCTTATAGTGTAGGAATCATGATACATTAGTTGTTCGATAGATGTTTGGTGAATGAATGAATGAATACTGAATTCGCAGTCAAAAGATCTATATTAAAATCCTGACTCTAATACTTGCAAGCAGGCTCTTTCCCTACCATGAGCTTTTTTTTTTTCATCTTCTGGAAAATAGGGGTATTGGGAAAAATGACTTCTCAAGCCCCTTCCAGCTCAAAATATGGGACTCTATGTTCATTTGAGGAGTAGGTAGGAAGGGATGGACTGGAATAGTTAGGGAGAGGTAAGGGTGGAAGACCATAAGAAGGTTCAAAATGGCTCTTCAGTTGTCTGTGAGGTACTTGGTTCTTCTTCGGAAGCTAAGGCCACGTTGAGGTGAACCCTCACTTCATTGGTGACTAGCACCACTATAAATAAGTCTGTCTTCATCCTTCTGCTGAAACAGCCACCTCAGAGCTCACTTGCATCTCCTCTGCTCTCATCCTTCACGATGATGAGGTTACAGTCATGGAGGATAAAATCAATGCCTTCATTACAGCAGCAGGTGTAAATGTCGAACCCTTCTGGCCCGGATTATTTGCAAAGGCCTTGTCCAGTGTCAACATTGCAAATCTCATCTGCAATGTAGGAGTTGGTGGACCTGCCCCAGCAGCTGGTGGTGCTGCCCCAGCTGAGGAGAAAAAGAACGGGGAAGCAAAAGAAGAAGAATCCAAGGAGTCAGATGATGACATGGGCTTTGGTCTGTTTGACTAAATATTTTTGTAACATTAAATAAAAAGCTTACCTCAATTAAAAAAAAAAAGGTCCTAAATGACCAAGAAGGGCATCAAAGTGATGTCTGGCTGGAAGGAGGTCACCCTCTAAAGAAGGAGGAACAAGTAAGCAATAGAGTCAGAAAAATAATGACATAAGTTCCTTTCTAGAGTGTCACAGGAGATAGATATATAATATAATATAATATATTATAATAATATAATAAATATATAATATTTATATATAAATATTTTCTCCAGGTAATACAGTCAGGGTCATCATCTGAAGGCTCAGAGAAAAAGCTATGAATAGTAATTAAGAATTGTTCCTCTCATCATTGTTCACATCTCTTAGACTACTCTTACCAAAACTTCAGGAGAAGAAATTACACATTAAACAAAAACCATTTTTAATCATCTGAAAATTGGGATGGGACTTAGTTGGAGACAGAGAAAGAAGGTGTACATAAAGGCCAACACTTATTCTTGACTCCCTTTAAGGCAACTCAGGCATTCCAGAACCCCAAGTTGTCTCCTGAATCTGCCATCATAAGTGTTTTCCCCAAATGCAAGCCACAAATGAAAGGCAACATGGTACCAGAGGCTGGAGGCCTCGCTCTGCTGCTAATTTCTGTGTCATCTTAGGCAAGTCACTCTGATTTTCTAAGCCTTCATTTCTTTTGCTGGATAATGAGAATGGTAAGACCAGATGGCCATGGTCAATAGATTGCTGGTCATAGTGTCTAGAAGCCCTGGGTTCAAAACCTGCCCCTAACTTTAATTGTGTGACACTAGGCAAATCTGTCCCTCTCTCTGGGCTCCTGTTTCTCCTCTGTAAAATGATGGAGTTAACTAGTATCTCCTGAAGTCCCTTCCAGCTGTAGACCTCTGCTCCTCTCAGCTCTTATGTTCTATCCTTCTAAGTTGCCTGGCTGGTTGTTTCTCTGATAGTTTCATTGAGACAGCCCTTTACCACAGAGGTGATGTCAAACATCCCACACAGATTTTCAGAGAAATATCAAGGCTTAGTTTGTCAGTGATTGCCGAGCACATATCTGATTTTCCAGGTACCGTAACTGACTTTTAGACAAGGGATGAGCTGTCTCCCACTGAGAGTCTGTGACATATCCTTGAAAGGGCTCTAAGAGGTCCCCCGAGTCTGAAACATGTCAGCTAGTCTGCTTACCGTAGAGATGGGGCAACTCGTCTACCTCATCCCCCATGACTTTCCTACTTCCTCTACTAATAACATCACTTGTACTGTCTGCTGCCAGTTTGAGAATGGGCCCATAGGCTCTGTTGCTATCACTGGGATTGACCTACCCATCACATTACTCATGCAACTTTGGGCAAGTTACTTAACTTCTGTGGGCCTCAGTTTCCTCATCTACGATGTGAGGGGTTTGAGTAGATAACCTTGAGGGTGCCTGTCACTGCTAAGTCTTATAATCCTATGTATACTGTTGAAAAAGGCAAAGGTTAGAGAGAGATGGAAGATGATGATGATGATAATGAAAGATATCATTACTTGAGGCAGTGTCTACATTGGTTAGAGCACTAGTTTTGAAGTCAGAACCTGAGTTCAGATCCTGGGGACTACTATTTACCATCCATATGACTTTGGTCAAGACACAACCCTTTGGACCTCAGTGTCTTCATCTGCCTTCTTTGGTCAGTTACATCTTCCTCTGTAGACCTCCTGGATCAAATGAGACAATATTTGTAAAATGTTTATTTAGCACAGTGCCTGGCACATAGTAGGTGCTAAATAAGTGCTTATTTCTTCCCTCCTTATCTTCCTGGAGTACTTTTATTGGTCCCTCTCTGGTGTCCTTAACAGGTAATATTAGGCATTCTAGTAATAGGCAAAGGGGTCATCCTCCTATGATACTTACTTCATGAAGACAAGGACATCAACTTATCTAAACTGCTCATCTTGCTCGGTGCTCTGTATACAGTAAGTGCTTAATAAATGCTTAGCAACCAGTCCCAAGGCCCCTTCCGATCTTAAATGCCCTATGATCCCACAGGTAAACATAGGTCTGCCCCACTGATAACAGAGTCTTTATTTAGCTCTCCATTGTCTGCTTAGCTTGGTATTCAAAGGCCCCCACTTTAGGGTCCCACAAAAATCTGGCTGCCAGCGTTCCAGGATGTCTAACCTACGTATAGTTTAGAGAATAGAGTAGGGATCAGAGGGTGTGTTAAAAGTGATGTTACTGTAGCAGAGTCAATATCACTTGAAGGACATTTCAGTGTTCTTTGCGCTCATGACCTCAGGCAACTTCAAGCATGGATGGCCCAGAAGACGTTTGCAAGAATACACACCCAACACAGGGAAAGCTGCCTAGTGAGAGAAGAACAGCCCCCTCCCCCAGAGCCATGTAGTGGCCTTTCCTTCCTCGTAAGTTATTCAGTCACTTCAACCTAGACAACAACCAACAAGTCTGAATTCTCCCCCTTTTTACTGGCTACCTCAGTGTGGGAGAGAGGCTGGTGCCTTTCTTGGGTTTCCAGCATCAGTATTTGACTTCCCAGTCCTAAAGTGAATTGTTCTTCTGGTTGCACTTCTCAGACGTGTCTGATCTGTCAGACCTTTCTTCTCTCATCTTCCTTTTATTTTCATTAACCATCCAATACTCCTTACACACCTAATGACTCGCCATGCTCTGAAACATACATGGGTATGTTCTTAATGCCGTGCATGGCTTTTCCTTCTTCTCCACCTAGAATGCCCTCCTTCCCATGTCAGTCCATCATTATCCTCTCCATCCTTCAAAGCCCAAGGCACAAGTCACCTCCTCATTGAAGTTTTCCAGGATCTACTCCTCCTTTCATCGAGATATGATTTCTCCTTCCTGGGCACTCGCACAGCATGATGGACCTTTCTCATGCACATTCACAGCATCCCAATATTTAGAGCTGGAAGGGTCCTCAAAAGTCATCTAGTACAGCCCATTTGTTTTGTTAAGTTATAACTTCTTTATACCCTAACTCTTTTGCATTATGATTATTTGGATACACGGTTCCTGTCACCTCCATGATCCCTTGGGACAAGGACAGTATTGGAAATAACTAAACCCCAGGTTGAGCTCTGCCTCTTTTCTTACTGGTTGTGTGAAGTTGGCCTTTCCAGGCCTTTGTTTCTTCATCTACGGATGCAGTTATCAGACTAGATGGTGACTAATGTCTTGAGCCTATGAAATTCATAAGTATAGTCATAACAGTAATAATGCAAAACCATGCTGTAAAGACAAAACAGTACTGAACATACTGGCTATATAAAGATAACAGTAGGATGGTGTCCTTGGACTATTTCTATCTGAAACCATTAAAAAAAAGTGAAAACAAAATAGAAGGAGGAGGAGGAGGGGGCAGAAGAGGAAGAAGAAGAGAAAGAACAATGATGACAATGATGATGACAACTTACCATTGCCAGTCTAGGAATAGGCCCATAGGCTCTGCTGCTTTATTTGAGACTGGCCCCTCAAAGTCCATGTGACCGCAGGCCCCAGTACTTTTATCTGTAAAAAGAGCAGGTTGGATTTGATGGTTATAAAGTAAACTATACAAATGATCTCATTTGAGCCTCTGAAAGGTCCCATGAAAGAGTCATCATGTCCACTTTAAACATGAGAACACTATTTACTCTGAGAGGGGCAATCCTCACCCAGGCTTTGAGGCTGGAGATAACATAGGAACTCCAATTCAGGTCACCTGATTTCTAGTCCAATGCCATGTTCTCCATACCCTGCTGCCTCTGAGATACTTCCTTGGTAGTAGGGGTTCTGATTATGGAAGGAAAAAAGGAAGGAAGGAAGGAAGGAAAGAAGGAAGGAAGGAAGGAAAGAAGAAAGGAAGAAAGGAAGGAAGGAAGGAAAGAAGGAAGGAAGGAGGGAAGGAAAGAAGGAAGGAAGGAAGGAAAGAAGGAA